TTGGTGTCCCAGAGCCCTGAGTCAAAGAAACCCCCCTACCACCCGTGGCCACCTACCCTTGAGCAGCCCCCAAGGGAGTGAAGTGGGGAGCAGCTTGCACCGTTGAGAAATGTCCATGGTGAATCCCCAAAGTGAGTCCCTGCCCCACTTCCTGGGCCTTCCCCTACTCCCCAAAGTAGGTCCCTCCTCAGAATCATGGGATTCCCACCCTTTTCACAGTATATATTTTATTTTATGTATTTATTTAATCATTTATTTATTTTTTAGTTGCAGGTGGGAACAATGCCTTTATTTTATTTTTAGGTGGTGCTGAGGATCGAACCCAGTGCCTCATGCGTGATAGGTGAGTGCTCTGCCACTGAGCCCCAACCTCAGCCCCAAACATTATTATTATTATTATTATTATTATTATTATTATTATTTATTGTTCTGCTTCTCTACCTGGTGTTGCTCCTGTACCTGCTCCACTTCTTCCTCCAGCTTTTTGTCAGCCTCCAGCTCCCAGCCCCCACTGCTGCATCTCTAGGTAGGCCACCATCCGCCCCTGCACTTGTCCACCCAGTGGCTCCATCTCTTGGTCGATATTCTCAGCACACAGGGCAGCCCCAAAGACAAAGAAGATCACAAGACAGTCCCAGTTGGGACTCCCTTGGAAAAGTTTGTCAGAAACCTCAGTGAGGCTTGGCTGAGCTGAACCCGGGGTCCCATGCAGCTGAGCTCACAGATCCGAGAAGTTGCAAGGGTCTGGAACTCATCTCCAGCTGCCTGCATGGCGTGGTGCAGCGGGTGACCTGCTGGACCCTCCCAGGGACCAGCTCCACAGACATAACCCTTCTGCCTCAGCATGTCTGGAGTTAAAACTGGGGTCACCATCAGGGTGGCCGGCCTGGGTGGCAGCTGTTAGGATCCAGTGCTGGGACATTTTGTCCTTTCATCCAGAGAGCAGGGTCAGGCTGCTGCTGGGATCCAGACTTTCCCCCCGCCCCCCCCCCCCACTCTGATCCTGATTTGTTGTTATTATTGTTTGTTTGTTTGAGGCAGAGTGTCTCTAAATTGCTAAGGCTGGCCTCACATTTACCATCCTCCTGTCTCAGCCTCCTGAGTAGTTGAAACTACAAGTAGCTCTTTTCTCCATCTCCTCCTCCTCTTTCTCTTCCTCTTCCTCCTCTCCTACTCTTTTTTAAAATTTTTAGTTCTGGGCGGACACAACATCTTTGTTTGTATGTGATGCTGAGGATCGAACCCGGGCCGCATGCTTGAGCCACATCCCCAACCCCTTCTCCTCCTCTTTCTCCTCCTCTTTCTCCTTCTCCTTCTCCTTCTTCTTCTTCCTGGAGATTGAACCCAGGGGTGCTTAATCATTGAGCTACATCGCCAGACCTTTTTATTTTTTATTTTGAGACAAAGTTGTAGAGAGTGGTGACAGTGATTGGGAGACCAGTGTCTGAGATTGGGGTCCCTGATGACTTCATAGCTGTGACATACTTGGTGACTGGGAAAGTTTCTGTACAAAGGCATAGGATGCCCAGTTGCTATGGAGATGTCCTCCATGCTAGAGTCTTATCAGCTTTGACCTTATTCTCAAGCACACAGCTCCTGGGAATGAAGGAACTTCCTTGCTGAGATAACCACAATGTTTCCCCAGTTCCCCTGCTCATGAATCTGACTGGGAATTAGTAACTTTAAACAACGGACTTTCTTGAGAGCTGCACAATGCTCCTAACATTGCACATTGCAACTGTAGAATGTAACTGAGGAAATAGCTGCATGCTGTTGCTAGCTCTGTAACTTTCATGAATACAAAGAATAAAGCTTTCATAGTCTTTAATCTGATTCAGAGACATATATAATAAAGATTGCTGGTTTAACTCTTTAGACCTGCTTCTCCATCAGAGAGCAGCGCTCCACCCAGTCTCAGCTGTTTTATCTTCAAGATTTGCGTATGTTGATCTTTATTTTTTCTAACCTCCCATCACACGTCGCCAGAACCTGCTAGTTTGGCTGCGCTGGTCGAGGCAAAAGTCTAGCTAAATTGCTTAGTGCCTCACCAGGTTGATGAGGCTGACTAAATTAGCGATCCTTCTGCCTCGGTCTCCTGAGTTGCTGGGATTACAGACATGCACCACTGCACTGGGCTCTTCTATCTTTTCAAAATGAATGGTACGTTATTACTATCTATAGTCACCCTACCAGAACTTCCTGCTCCTTTTTTTCAAACTGTATCTTAGTATCTACAGAGCAACATTTCTCCATCCCTCCCTCTTCCTACTCTCCCCAGCCTCTGCTAACCACCACTCTACTCTCAACTTTTGTGAGATCAACTTTTTCAAATTCCACATTATGAATAAGATCAGGCAGTACTTGCCTTTCTGTACCTGACTTATTGCACTTAACATAGTGATTCCAATTTCATCCATGCTTTTGCAAATGATAGTTTTCCATTGCTTTATTCATTCATCAGTTGATGGACACTTAGGTTGTCTTCATTTCTTGCCTATTGTGAACAGTGTTACAATAAATATAGGAATGCCAATGTCTCTTCGACATACTGATTTCATTTTCTTTGGATAGATAGCCAGTAGAGAGCTTGCTGGATCATATGGTAGTTCTAATTTTAATTTTTTGAGGAACTTCCATATGCTTTTCCATAATGGCTCAACTAATTTACCTTCCCACTGATGGTGTGCAAGAAAGAAGGGTTTCCTTTTCTCCAAATCCTTGTCAACATTTAGTATCCTTAGTATTTTTGATAATAGTCATTCTTACTGAGATGAGATGTTATCTCATTGTGTTTTGAGGGAGATTTAGATTTTGTTTCTTTGTATTTTGAGATTGTTGTTGTTCAACCAGTGATTGAACTCGGGAGCACTCGACCACTGAGCCACATCCCAGCCCTATTTTGTATTTTATTTAGAGACAGGGTCGCACTGAGTTGCTTAGTGCCTTGCTAAGTTGCTGAGGCTGGCTTTGAACTTTCGATCCTCCTGTCTCAGCCTCCCTAGCCTCTGGGATTATAGGCATGCGCCACCACTCCCAGCTTGTTTCTTTGTATTTTGTTTTGTTTGGTATGGTAATGCTGTGAACCAAACCCAAGTTCACAGCATTACTATACCAAACCCTGTGTGCATGTTAGGCAAGTATTCTACCATTTAGCGATACCCATAGTCCTCACTCTGTGTGTGTGTGTGTGTGTGTGTGTGTGTGTTTAATAGTATAGATGGACACAATACCTTTGTTTTACTGATTTATTTTTATGGGGTGCTGAGGATTGAACCCAGTGGCCCACATGGGCTAGGCATGCGCTCCACCACTGAGCTACAACCCCAGCCCCTCACTATGGTTTTGATTTGCATTTCCCTAATGTTTGTGATTTTGAACATTTTTTTTTCAAGTACCTGTTGGCCATTTGTGTGTCTTCTTTTAAGAAACGTCTCTTTAGAACTATTGCCCAGTTTTTAAATGAGTTATTGGTACTTTGCTATTGAGTTTTTGGAGTTCTGTATATATTCTGGGTACCAATTCCTTGTCAGATATATAGTTTGTGAATATTTTCTCTTGTTCTCTAGATTTGTCTTTCACTCTTTTGTTTTTGTTTGTTTGTTTGTTTTTGACAGAGAATTTTTAATATTTATTTTTTAGTTTTCGGCGGACACAACATCTTTGTTTGTATGTGGTGCTGAGGATCGAACCCGGGCCGCACGCATGCCAGGCGAGCGCGCTACCGCTTGAGCCACATCCCCAGCCCCCTATTAGGGTTTTTTGCGGTAAGTTTTAGCATTGTCTTTTTTCTAGTTCTGGTGAAGGTTTTGTTTGTTTGTTTGTTTGTTTTGTTTTGGGGTTTTGTTGTTGTTTTTTGTTTATTTGTTTTGCAGTATTGGGGATTGAACCCAGAAGTGTTTAACCACTGAGCTACATCCTCAGCCTTTTTTATTTTATTTTGAGATGGGATCTCACAAGTTTACCCTAGTAGGCCTCAAACTTGCAATCTTCCTGCCTCAGCGTGCTGTGTAGCTGGGATTATAGGTGTGCATCACCATACCCAGCTCTGGAGTTTTTTCCCAAAATAATTTCAGAAGTATTTATTCTCAAACTCCTTGGACAACAACATAAGACCACTTTTAGCACCATTCTTTGCTGCTTTATACTTAGAAAGCTCAGCTTTCTTCAGGTCACTCACCTATCAAGAGGCCTTCCTACTTGCAAAGAACCTGTCTGCTAGGACTGAATGTGGCATGTGACTTGCATCCCACTTAAATAATACTTCCTCCTCTGGGCTGGGGATGTGGCTCAAGCAGTAGCGCACTCGCCTAGCATGCGTGCGGCCCGGGTTCGATCCTCAGCACCACATACAAACAAAGATGTTATGTCCGCCAAAAACTAAGAAATAAAATATTAAAAATTCTCTCTCTCTCTTAAAAAAAAAAATAATAATACTTCCTCCACATCCCGTTTGTCTAGCTCACGACCTTTGAACACTTTTACTCATTCTTGGTCTTTGATCTATGTATTCTGAGTGTATTATTTGGGCCTTATACACACAATAAACTAGGATCTTGCAGGTACAAAGTGACATGAGAGGTACGCAGCGTATCAAAGAGGTTGTTCCTCCTCCCCTCTAGTACTAAGTGTTAGAAATTGTTGTTGAAGTAACAACCTGCCATTATGTCTGCCTTCTAGCAGGGCATGAGTAAGTGGTGAGCAGACACATTAATGTACACTAAAAGTATGTTTCCACCAGAACTTGGTTATACAGCTAGCTTCTAAATGAACAACAGTACAGCTAAGAGGCATCTCTTCATGGATATAATTTCCTGAAATGTCCAGGTTGGATGGAGGCAGAAGAGGCTGGGATCAGCTCCTGTTGGCAGGTCATACACAGGAACAGTTTCCATGAGACATAAAATTGCCATTAGCATAATTTTTTAAGGTCACTTAGGAAGAGTGTATTTGGCATACTGTCTTGGCACCGTTGTTACCAGCAATAAGCTTAATGGGAGAACATGGCTGCTGGAACTGCAAATGATTTCCTTGAAGGTAAATTGTGAGCAATTTGTGAGCAATTGTGAGCAATCTTGGAAAGTTAACTTTCTAGAGCAAAATTGGAAGTGTCAATCAACAAATGTTTAGAGGTTAACGTCTACAGAGAATTTGGTTTTTGTTTTTGCTGTACTAGGGTTTGAACCCAGGGGCCTTATGCCTATTAGACAAATACCCTACTACTGAGCTATACCCTTTTATTTTATTTTATTTTGAGACAGACTCTCACCAAATTGCCCAGGCCTCAAGATTCTGATCCTCCTGCCTTAGCCTCCCAAGTTGCTGGAATTACAGTTGTGCATACAGCACCCAGAGAAGATCTGTCTTTAAACTGCCTGTTGACGATGTGTACCTGTCACAGGCAAGAGTCATGAATGGGTCAAGTGCATGAGGCTTCCGACTGCAAGAATATGGGGCCTCCACATCATCATCATCTAACTGACTACTGAGATCTGCTGGGTGAGGGTGGGTCAGGTGCCCAGAGAGGGTCTGTACGTGAGTCACTTCATGGTGACAACCACCTGTTGGGTGGTTATTCATCAGAGGACAAAGCTGAGAGAGGTGAGTTGTTCATAAATGAAGGAACCTAAAAGTAAACCCCAATCTGGGCTCTTTCTCCTTGTTCCATTCCACTCTTCACTGTATGCTGATTATTCTTTCCCTATCCAGTTTGCTCATTTGCATATTCATTCAGCCTTTTATCTAAGGACCAGAGGAGACCCCACAAATAACCTTATGCTAAAACCTGTCAAGTGCTTCACATATGTTATCTCCAAATCCTCACAGTTCAAACTTGTTTTTTTATTTGTAGATAAACACAATACCTTTATTTTATTTATTTTTCAGTGGTGCTGAGGATTAAATCCAGTGTCTCACACGTACTAGGCAAGTGCTCTATCACTGAGCCACAACCTAGCCCCATAGTTTGAACTTTTAATTTGAATTTTTAATTTGATAGATCCTCAGTACCACATAAAAATAAAATAAAGATGTTGTTTCCACCGAGACTTAAAAAAAATAAATATTAAAAATTCTCTCTCTCTGAATTTTTAATTTGAATGTTATATGACTAATATTGTTTTTTTCCATTAATATTTTTGGTTATTTATTATTGTTATTATTATTACTATATTGGGGATTGTCCCCAGGGGAGCTTTTAACACTGAGCTATACCACCAGCCCTTTTTTTTTTTTTTTTTCAATTTTTATTTTATTTATTTATTTGGTCCTGGGGATTGAACTCAGGGGCTCTCAACCACTGAGCCATCTCCCCAGTCCTTTTTTGCATTTTATTAGAGACAGGGTCTCACTGAGTTGCTCAGTGCCTCACCATTGCTGAGGTTGGTTTTTAACTCACAATCCACCTGTCTCAGCCTCCTGAGCCACTGGGATTACAAGTGTGCGCTACCATGCCTGACTTTATCTTTCATTTTGAAACAGGGTCTAAGTTGCTTATGGCCTAGACAATTGCAATCCTCCTCTGGGGCTAGGGCTGTAGCTCAGTGGCAGAGTGCTTGCCTAGCATGTAGGAAGCACTGAGTTTGATTCTTAGCACCACATAAAAATAAAAATTAATTGCAATCCTCCTGCCTCAGCCTCCCAAATCACTGGGATTACAGGCATGCACACTATGGTGTGGTGGTCACTTATTTTTGAAGTAGTAAGTACATACAGAAAAATGTACAAACCCTGAGTATAACACCTGTGGATTTTCACCAAGTGAACACTCCTATTTTCATTCATACCCAGATCTAGAAATGAAACATTATCAACATTGCAGAAGCTCCCCTTGTGCTCCCACCCAGCCAGGAATCCCAGTTGCCACCCCAAGGATGACCACATCTGAATATCTGAATCTTAACACCCATACATCTGATGTGCCTGTTTTTTAAAATATATATATATATATATATCAGGTGTGGTGGCTCCCATGCCTGTATTTCCAATGACTTGGGAGGCTGAGGCAGGAGGATGGCAAGTTTGAGGCCAGCCTCAGCAACTTGCCCCTAAGCAACTTAGTGAGAGCCTGTCTCAAAATAAAAATTTAAAAAGGGCTAGGAATGTGGTTCAGTGGTAAAGCCTGTAGGCTCAATCCCCAGTATCAAAATTATTATTATTATATGTATACACATACACACACACACACACACACACACACATATATATATATATAAAATACACACACAAAGAGGTGTCTTCCACTTATGTTCACTATTATGAGAGATTTGTTTGTAGTGTACATGTTTATTCATTTATTTATTTCCTTAGTTTTGCAATGTTGGGGATGGACCCAGGGATGAGGGATGCCACACAAGCACTCTACCCTTCAGTTATACTCCTAGCCCGGGGCATGCTGGGTTTTTTGTTTGTTTGTTTGTTTGTTTTTAATTTCTGTTTCTTTAATATAAAGAGATTAAAATGTATTTTATTTTTCTAGGTTAATATAATTCAAGCACAGTGGTACTAAGGATAGCATATTGCTCCCCCAGAACTAGGGATGGAATCCAGGGCCTCACGTATGCTAGGCAAGCCAAACTACATCATCTGCCCTTTTTATTTTATCTTGAGATGGTTTCACTAAGTTTCCAAGGCTGTCCTCGAACTTGTGATCCTCCTGCTTCAGCCTTCTAAGTATGCATGCTGTTTTAGATTATTCATTTTCATTGCTTTTTACTGTGTTGTTATTTTGGCAGTACCTAGAAGTGAATCCAGGGGCACTCTACCTCTGAGTTACATCTCTGGTCCTTTTGATTTTTTTTTTATTTTGAGACAGGATGTCATAAAGTTGCTGAGGTTGGTCTCAAACTTATGATCCTTCTGCCCCAGCCTCTCAAACAGTTGAGATTATAGGCATGTGCCACAGCACCTGTCTTCATTTTCATTGCATTGTTTTTTAATCCACAGTAAAAACAGGCCATAAAAGATCTATCCATTCTACTGTTCATGGGTATTTGAGGTAGGCATTTATCCTGATGTTACAACTAAAGAAACCTGACACCTACAAGTTTGAGTAGTTTGGCTAAGGACCCAAGGTTACTGGATTTACGTCATATCTGTCATTACTTCCCAGATAAATTAAGAAAGTTCATAGAACTAAAACTCTCTGTCCCTTCAGTACTAAGATAAGGTGGGAAGGACAGAGGGTTTTCTGTTATACTAACTCTAGAAGTCATATGCTGACTCCATCCAACAGGAATTCACCTGTATGTGTATATATCCTTCTGATTCTTTGTGACAGTTGACAGCCTTCCAATGTCACCATTTATTCTTATACCATCTGGCCGGCACAGTGGCACATGCCTGTTATCCCAGCAGCTTGGGAGGCTGAGATAGGAGGATTGCGAGTTCAAAGCCAGCCTCAGCAAAAGCGAGGCATTAAACAACTCAGTGAGATCCTGTCTCTAAATAAAATACAAAATAGGGCTGGGGAGGTGGCTCAGTGCTTAAGTGTCCCTGAGTTCAATCCCTGGTACCAAAAATAATAATAATAATTAATATTCTTATCCCATCTGGTTTGCTGCCACTCAATTCTGACACTCTCCTCTGCGGTTAGTGCCAAATTCCACAGGCTTTAGGATAAAGGCCTCAGCAAGGCTGCCCTATTCCAGAAGCCAGCTGCAAGAGGGTCCCTAGGGCACCTCAACTATGACAGGTTGCAGATGTGGGCGATGTCCTCCCATGCAACCTCTGTTCAGGTTCGATCATTCACTGTGACTCACAGAATTCAAGAAAGTACTATACATACTGATTACAATTTTGTCACAAGGCTACAACAAGAAGAGTGGAATAAAGAGACACGTAGGGTGAAGCCAGAAATGACTCTGAGTACAGAGATTCCAGGTCCTGATTCCTGAGGAATCAGGATGTATCACCCTCCAGGCACATCACTGAGATTCACCATCAGAGTTCGTATTAGGGTCTCATCAGACAGGCATGACTGGTTGAGTGTTGGTCATCTGATTAAACTGAATTTCCACCTCCTCCTGTCTGCAGAGGTCTGGCTGGCTCAAAGCCCCAACCCTCCAAAACCTTGGCTGCCCTTCCTGTTGATCAGCCCCCACCCTGAGTCATCTCACGTCATTAACATAACTCAAGTGGGATCAAAGGGGCCTGTGTGTAACAAAGACAATCCTATTACTCAGGAAAATCCAGTGGTTTTAAAAGTCCCTCCCAGAACCAGGGACAAAGGACTGTCATATTTTTGATTATACTACACTACCTCTAATAGGGTTTGTCCTTTCATGGAACCATTCTGGTGCCATTTCTTCTAACTGAAATACTGGACCCTCATTTGTTGGTTTGCGGCTATTCTTGTTGCTCTGGGCTGAATAGTGTCCCTACCCAAATTCACATGCTGAATCTGAGGACCTTGCAACATGTTTGTGCTGTAGATAGATAGGTCTTTTTCTCCTCCTCCTCCTCTTCCTCCCTCCTCCTCCTCCCTCCTCCTCCTCCTCTTCCTTGTCTTCCTCTCTCTTCCTCCTCCTCCTCTTCTTCTTCTCCCCCTTCCCCTCTCCCTCCCTTCCCCCCCCCCCCCTCCCCCCCCCCCCATTGAAACTGCATATGGCCATTCAACTACTGAATCAAATCCCTGACTCTTTTTATTTATCTATTCATTTATTGATGCAGCATCTCACTAAGTTGCCCAGGCTGACCTCATACTTGCCATCCTCCTGGCTTACCTCCTGGATCAACTGTGATACAGAATGTGTAGGTGCCTCCATACACAACTGAGAGACAGAATTTTAAGGGATGATTAAAGGGGATTGGAGATGTGACTCTGTGGCAAAGTATGTTGTTAGCTTGCATGAGACTCTGGATTCAATCTCCACCATCAAAATGTTTTAAGGGTAAAATGAAGTCAGATAGTGAAGCTAAATCCAAAATAACCAGAGCCCTTATAAGAAAAGGAGATGAAGACACATAACACACAGATCCAAAGGTGACTGTGGGAGGACACAGCAAGAAAGTGGTATGCCAAAAACAGAACCAAATCA